GAATCAAATATGTATCTTTATTCATTTACAATAAACTCATAAAGTACATCATTCTGATTGAAGCTAAGGGCATACAAAACTGTCTAACAACTGTAGCAGACCGGACTGAGAGAGAGAGAAAGTGGATTTCGAAAATGTGTGTTTTTGGAGTCTGATTCATGCTCCTTAAATAGTTTATGAAGAGGTATGAAGAAAAGGTAGGTTCTGGTTTAGAGAAAGCACATTGAACAGTCACAATTTCAAATATTGTGACTGTTTAAAAAGTAGTTAACAGTTAATGACTGTTAACTTTTAATTGTGCTTCTTGATCACACTTGATCGAATCATGACCGTTGATCTCATCAATGGTGATCAACGATCAACATCGCACCAAAACCAAAGCCGCCCTTCGCAAGCCACGCGGGTGCAAGCAAAGTGCGAGCAAAGTGCGCCTCATTGCGCCGCGCACACGCGTGCATGCGTGTTGTGCGTTATCAAACCCCTATACTCTCCTCTACTATTTCTAAGAAGTGTAAATCAACTCCTATTAAAATATTGGAAACAAAGCTTATAATTTTCTAATGTGGGACAAGTTCAAAACTGGGTTTTGTAAGAGAAAAGCCAATTTTTCAATCAAGTATGCAGGTACAATTTCTCATGTAGTTGACCAATCAAACCCATTGGATTTAATCTCTTATGAGATTAAAATCCAACACCATGTATTAAGAATATTTTCCCATCAATAATAACATCAAGCACGGGAGATGAGCCTAATGCATGGCTAAAAGCACTGTAAAGTTGGTGTAAGATGCACTCTATGAAGCAAATCTATATTCTTAGTATGAGTTCCGTATTATGGACGTTTATTGCCCGGTGTTTATCAAATAAATGTTTATTTGAAAAATACTGCTTTAATTGTTTAGTACTTTTGTTGTTTGGTTGGGTGTTTTATGGGCATTTCAAATAATATTCCATAAAGTTACTTTCTACCTCAGCTTAAATTGTACCACATAAGCATTTTATTTCAATAAATGCCCATACTTTGAGGGAATAAAAAATTTGAAAATTTCCCTAATGCCTCGTGCACATAAATTATAGCATTTATATTTTTCTATGTTTATTTGATTAACATTGAAACCAAATAGTGGTTTAACAACAATGCCTTTGTTTGGTATAGCTTCCATTTACTCACTAAACGTTTATACTTGCATGGTGTTTGGAAGTGTGGGCACTTTTTGGTACCGATTTTTAGGAAAAAACGCTTATGCTTCCGAAACCCATGTTTCACAAAAAAATGTTTTTACCACGTAGACAATGAGCAACACTATGCTGTTTGTTAAGGTGATTTTCATCACCGTTTTTCATGTATGTGTTGATAGGTAAGCACCACATGGGATACACATCAGTCAACTGTTGGGGGGAAACGGTTCACCGATGCATGAAACACCAAATTTGGCGTCTCATACATCAGTGGGGCCCTGATTTTCAAGACATACCTGATTTTTTAATAATCGACTGAACCAAACAATGAGATACATAGGCCTATGTGGGATCCGACATAGCACCGTTTTTTTGAAAAACGGCCACGATTCCAAACATCTCCTTGATTTGTTTGCAAAACTAAGAAAAATAGTAATAAAACTGTTTATTAACAACTAGGCGCCATTAGGCACCACATCAACGTAATAGTGAATAAATGCTTAACATTGGGGGAAGCATTAAAATAAAACTTCCCCCAACCATAAATGTGCACAAAATAAAGGCCAACTTTTGCGAGTCTCTATACATATGGATCAGCATGATGGGCGTAATGCTGAACTGGCACCTATGTGGTAGCATTTATTGAAAAAACGCCCATGGTTCCAAACACTGCATATTGTAGTGGTGTTTTTTCAAAAAACGCCCAGACAACCAAACATACCCTTAATCGCTTCCCTGTTTAATAATGATTGGTTTGAAAATAGGCTAATTGCAGACCCCATTATTTAGGTGGCAGCTGGGGTGGCAATCTAACAGGGACGAAGTTCTTCTTTGCATCACCACTTGCCATAGGTAGAACAAACGCCTTGTACTGTAAGGCACTGAGGCGTAATCTGCTCCAAGTCTTGACTATCCAAGTCGACATTTGGGCCCAATTGATATTCGTGGTGGGTGGGACCCATTCAATGCAATGGTCGATGTTGATCCTCTGGACAGCTGGCAAGTTTACAGGGCATGGCTGAACGACATGTTGATGCAAAGAAGCATTATCAGTTTATCACTATCATTCTCTGTCGCTCAAATCACATTCACAGAAGACAGAAAAACAGACGTCCTATTGAACTTTGAGGCGTTGTAAGATCGTCGGCGATGGTGTTGTGCTTTCCTTGACACTTTGACAGTGGACACCTCTATGGCTCTAGTGTTTGTGAATTGTGCACATGTCAAGCTGCTGGTATGGTAAATCTTAACCGTCCATTTAAGAAAGGACTTAAATGGACGTCCCAGGGATTCAACGAGTTTTGGGGGATGACGTGGCAAATAGTGAACACTAGGGAGTTCTGCCACGTGGAAAATTTTGTATCAGCTGGATTTATGGGATGCCAGTTTAATAGCTTTACGGAAGCGGCATATATGGCTTGCTCTGCTCTTCTATGGCTATGAAACTGTTTCTTCTATCGCTTCTTTCTTTTCTAAATAGTCTCCAATGAAGGCTTTCATTTCTGATAATTTACTGCGGTGTTCGAATCCTCGATTCTCATCGTCTCTCTCTGCCTTCAACTTCAGATCTTCATCTCCTAAAAGCGGAGCCTTTTTTCATTTCTCCAATCGAAAATGGTGCTGGGTGTCAAGAACACCGAGTTTCTGCTCGGTCTCTTCTTCTTCTTCTGCCTCACTTTCTGGGAGCTACGGTGGATGGGACGAACTGAAACCCATAGAAGATTTAGACAAGTCTAGTAAGTTGGTTCAATTCAAAAGTTTTCTGATTTCTCTAGGAGTCGATGATAGAAAGCATGTATTCATGTTTTTTCTAGGGCTTGTTTCTGCTTTGGCTATTTCCAGAGTTAGAATTTCCTCAGTTATAGTTTTTCCTGCTTCTGTATTGGTTTTCGCTGTGGGATTTTCCTTGGGGTTTGTCCGTGGGGGTGGTATCCATCCATTGGCGAGAGATGCAAGTGCAAATGGAAGTAAGAAAACGAGTAAAGAGGAGAATTACAAGGTTACTGCTGATAAATTGAGGAAATTGGTGGATTTTTTCAGCGAGTTGAGTGTTAAGCTGACAATTTTGGAAAATGAAATGAAAGAAACCATTGACTCGAATCGCATCGAGTCGGGTCAATTAGGAAGACATTTAGAGGCCATTCAATCTATTAGCTTATCCATCTTGCCAGCAAAAAGTGTCCTTGAAGCTTCTGTTAATAGCATGGATCTCTTTGGTAATTTGGTTGACTCTGGTAGCATTTTAATTGAGGATGGAGAAGTCAAGAGGACTTTGAATCAGAAACCAGGTAGGAGAAGGAAAGAGACAAGTATAGTCGGGTTTGATTTCTTAAGATTTCTTGGGGGATTGTTTCAGGAAAATTCAGTAGCCTTGAAGTACAATAAAGTGAAAGATAATGTTAAGCCTACGGAACCATTGATTCTGAAGGATGTAAATGATCAAGCTCAAGGAAACATTTTAATGCATGGAGTTGAAGAAGAGGTCTTAAATCCAATTTCCACCAATAACGTAGGCAACACGAACGGAGGGTCATCGTGTCCACGGTCGAACTCTGAAACTTCAAATTTATATCAAGATGGAACTGACAAATTAGATAACAGAGTCGGAATAAAGAAAGTGAGACCAAAGGATTCAAAACTAGATTTTTCTGAGATGGTTAGAAATGTCAACGGAGTGCTTAACACTGAAGAATTCATTTATCGGAAAAATAATTTAAGGTTCATGAACAATCATGGAACCTTCCTGAAGATGGTGCAACAAAATACAAGTGAAATCGGTTCACCCAAGGACAACATCTATGGTTCAGTATACTTAGATGGAGATCTGAGTCGTATGGAAATCGAATGTGATTCATATAACATGGAAACCAAGACATCCTTCCAACAAGAACAGACTCTAAATACATGTAATGGAGGTAGCATCCCTTCCCGCAACAAGGATGAAGCTGAAAACAGGACTTACAGACCTTATGGAGGAGAGAGTTTGGAATATCCAGGTAATAACCAATGTGGAGATTATGAGACAGTTGGTTCCACATCATCATCCTCAATGATTTCAGAAGATGTGGCATTTGATCGGCATCTTACGGAGGCTACTGACCTTTTAAAACAGGCCAGGAAGGTGTTAAAAGGTAAAGGTGATGAAGAAAGGGCAGAGATTATGTTGTACAAATCTGCTAGGTTGCTCTCCAGAGCCATAGCCATGAAGCCTATGAGTTTATTGGCTGTGGGTCAGTTGGGAAATACTTTTCTTCTTCATGGGGAACTCAAGTTAAAGATAAGCCGTGAGTTGAGAACTCTTCTTTCGAAAAGAAAATCTTCATCATTTGAAGTGGTTAATGGAGTACAGAATAAGGGGTTAAATGATCAAGTTGTGAGCAAAGATAGAATTGCATCGGTTCTCATTGATGTGTGCGAAGAATGTGAACAACTCCTTGTTGAGGCAGGAAGAAAGTATAGGATGGCATTGTCAATTGACGGGAATGATGTGAGATCACTGTATAATTGGGGTCTTGCTCTCTCCTTCCGTGCTCAGTTGATTGCAGATATTGGACCGGTAAGCATTGTGATGAAAGGGGTTGCTTAGTTATGGTTAATGTTCAAAACTTATCCAATTTGACTTGGATTTGAATGAGTCAATTCATTTTAACTGCAATTTTGCTAGAGAGCAATGCATGCTTATTTATTCAGCTGAGTTAAACTTGAGTTGGAGGAACGATTTTTAGATAAGATCCAAATTTTCTTTTTAAATATTTTTTATAATTATCTTTTTGTTGAATTTTCAATACTTGAGATCTTCCATTTGCTGGAACTTTTAGGTACTTATTGCTGAATTATTCTGATATTTATTTGCCTTCTCGTAACTTTCAGGAAGCAGCTTTTGATGCTGACAAGGTGTATTTAGCTGCAATAGATAAATTTGATGCTATGATGTCTCGAAGCAATAGTTATGCTCCTGATGGTATGATTAGCCTGCTCCTTTTCAGCCAAATGCTGTTATTTGTTAATTATATTAATATGCTAGTGCAACTTCAAAAGAAAGAAATTCTTTGAGATGAGCAAGTCTTTAGAATGCGTTTTATCATTGCAAGAAAAAAACAAAAAGACGGAAAATAAATGACTAAAAGAAACTGCAAAGTTTTAAGAACTAAGAAAACGTCTATTAGATTGTTAATGAATATTAATGGCTAAAAACTTTATCTTGTGTGGATTTGAGTTAGTGAGTTCATGGACACTTATTGCTGATTTTCGGTAGACAATTATGTTCCAATGAGATGAGTTTCTCATCTTTATCCTTTTATTTACTCAAGTTGGTTTTTTATTACAAGTTACTAGCAAGCTAGACCAAAGAAGGTTTTTATGGTTATCTTCAGCTCAAAGTGTAATATGAGCTAAAGGTCACAAATTCGGGACTATCTAAAATAAATTGACCACTTATTTGCCCTTTTGATAATTGTCCCAAATCTTTATCATTTCAACATCTAAAGATGTTATTTCATTTACATTTAAAAGGTTCAGGTACCTGGTTAGTTAGCTACTGTGATTTACAGGCAAAAGAACTTATGTTCTCTCTTGGCATGAGTTGCAGCTCTCTTCAGATGGGGTCTGGCATTACAGCAGCGGTCTCGCCTACGGCCAAACAATGCCAGGGAGAAAATGAAGCTGCTGCAGCAGGCAAAGAGGCTTTTTGAAGATGCACTCAATATTGATTCTGATAATCTTCAAGTAAGAGAAGCGTTATCTTCATGTATGACCGAGCTGAATGTATGGGAATAGTTCTTGGTGTAAAACCAAAATGGCAATTCAGAGGGAGAATTACTTAGTGATTTTTATTCTCATATATCTTGCTGCAGATGTCCATTCCTCTTTCATCTCTTCCTTTGGGGTGGGTAAAATAACACTGTATATCAACTTCCAACGCTAGATTTTGACATGCACAATTCAATTGATCGGCTTTTGACAATATAGCCAGACTGTTATTTGGACAGTAAAGTGCGGCTGAAAAGGTCATTGTTTTTGGTCTTAGGAATGTATTAAGCTTAGACCATAGGCACGAAAATTCATTCTTTTCCATCCTATGTGCACGTCTGCGTGTTGAACAAATCTCCACTCTTTACTGGTTCTGAAATAAAAGGAGGCTTCATGGATCATGAACTTTTCTCCTTTATATATGGCTACGTACGTAGTGTTCTCAAAGAATTTCCTGCATACACCATCGCTCCTCTCTCTCTCTCTCATCATCTGAGATTTATCCCAATCCTTCCTCGCCATTTCGTTCTGTTTAATACCACATCAATTTAACACTACGTTTAGGTTAAGATATGGGGTATTGTATCCAGAAAATGCCCCAACATGAACAAAAGACAAATCATAGTATATGATCATGGAAGTTTGACAAAAATTTTAGTGTTGGCTATCAGCAATCCTTGACAGCTATATCCGAATGCCGCCTGGTTAAAGGAGGGACTTGACCTTAATATTTTCCATCATCATCATCTCTCTCTCTTTCTCTCTCTGAAGGATGTTCAACCACTCCTTAGTCCTAAAAACTCTACTCCAGATTTGGTTATAATCATCAGTAGTGTAGAACTGAGCTAGCTCTCTTAAACCTGATCTGGACTGAATGATATTCGTTGTGAAAAGCAAAATCTACTCTTAATTGTTTTTAGTGTTTTCTGCTTTACCTTCTTGCTCTTTCTCTCTCTCAGAAGGTGGTTTCAACCACTGTTTAACCCCTCAGTCTAGAAACTCTTCTCCGAAAAGTAAAATCTACTCGTATTGTTTTTAATGTTTTCTACTTTACCTTCTCTCTCTCTCTCTGACGGTTGTTCAACCACTCCTTACTCCTCACTCGAGAAACTCTTCTCCAGATTTGGTTATAATCATCAGTTGTGTAGAACTGAGCTCTCTTAAACCTGATCTAGATTGAATTGGAATTAGAGAGATCTATCATCTACCTAACTTCATTAAGGTAATGAGCTGGACTTCAAGGACTCCTATCAATTTCTTGTGCCATAGGCCTTAGCTGAATTTCCTTCAAGAACGTAGTAATGTCAGCCTCAATCGTCGAAGATATGGGCACCTGTCATTTTGAAATCTCTTTTATTCCACAACAAGATTTCAGCTGTTGTCATTTGGAGAAACATGGTGTATTCAAAGCCTTCTATAATTCCACGTGCTGATCCAACAACAGTTCACATGTAACCAGGCTTATTAGTTATTACGGATGGTTTCAAGTCTCCCAATTTTTGTTCAAGGGATTTGACAGCAGAACCTTTGTGAAGACTGAGACTGAACTGAACTACCTCTGAATCTCAGGTTAGTTCTATTAAATGCTGCCTAGCTTTCAGACTGGACCTGATCGACGGGGATAGACAGATTCAACTACATTATGGTCCTAGAGGGGACCATGGCCAAGGGGCCTCAGGGTCAGGGGTGTTCACCGAACCGTGGGCCACCGATTTCTGCAAAATCAGTAACCGAAACTGAATCAAAGTCGATCGGTTAACCAGCTGATCAGTTTGGTTAACCGTTGGTTTGCTTCATCAGTTTTTTGGTTTTTTTAAATTTATAATATATATTATAAAAAATATATAAATATATAATAAAAAACTAAAAATATATAAAATATTATATTTTAAATAATAAATAATATATTATATACTATAAAATATATATTTATATATAATGCACATTTATTAATTTATAATATATAAAAATATATATATATATATATATATATATTGGTCAGTTCGATTAACTGAATTTTCGGATTGATTTTTCAGATTTTCTTGCTCACCCCTAGGACCTGCTCTGCCTTTGTTCTCCTATAGTTCTATAGAGTATAGACTAAACTGGATGTTTCTGACGTCAAACAGTTGGTGAATTACAGATACGGAATCAGCACCACAACGTTGATTACTCTTGTGGCTTTCCAGCGTAAGATATCCAGACCTGGCCATTGGCCAGGTGCAATCCGAGATTAGCTCTTGATTGCAGACCACCAATGAAGTATTCCCTGTCATTCAACTGGCTACGTGCAGTATACTTAAGTCTTTCCTTGTAGGCAGCAAATAAGGCTCAGTTTGGAAAGAGTACAATACAAATGCATACAAAATACAAAGTTTTGAACTCTCGAATTTGTATTTATATTCCTTCCAAATTGAGCCTAAAGGTCGTGAGGGTTCTGATACACCTATTTAAAGGTGTTTTTAGAAAACCATTTATTTTATTTATTAAATAATATAAAAAATATCTATAAAAATAAAATTTTGAAAAAAAAAAACAAAAAAAAGGTGCATGATTTAAAGTACCAATACACCCTTAACCCCTGCAGATACATTTGGGTGTACCGATACTTATCAGATGGCTATGTGTAGACAATGGTTAGCCAGTATAATTTACAACATGGATCAGACAATTTTTGGTGACTGAAGAGTGAATGTCAACATTAGGTGATAACCTAAACTTGAGATCTTATGGAGGGAAGAAACGGACTTCACTTGCTTGGATGGGCCTTGATTCGGATCTTCGATGCATTTGCCCATAAAAAAGTGTTTGCTTTTAGATGGTCTTGTCTCCCCATGAACCACAGGAGCAGCATCTCACAAGAGAATTTAATTTGCGTTAGTAGACAAAATTCCAAGCAACACTTAGTCTCCCAATAGAGATTTCATTAATACATCTGGCTTTACTGGAGAAATTGCTTGTAGCTAATGCCAATGAGGTATTTTGAAAACTATGGGGTATCCTTAAAAAATGAGAGAAGTAAGAATTGAGACTGAAGAGATTTCAGAATTTTCATAATTCTTGGCTTTTCCTGATTTGTACATGCCCACTTTTGGCAGGGAGCACACTAATCTCTTTCTTTTACCATTCTAATTCCATCAGATGTTTCCACTTTCCACAAGGACAATTTTCACCATTCTTTTTCTAGTTCTTTGGCTGCAGAGTGTCCCTTGGAAAAATTCTCTGTCCCAGTTGAAAGAGAAAACAGCCTTGCAGGTCCAATAATGGAATCAATGCGGTTCATGATGCTAACTCAAACATTCAAACTGTGTTCAATTGCATTTCACTGTATCTCCCGGGAGTCCTTTCTTGTTTGCTGAATCTCAATGCTTTCCACCTTGTACATCCAGTTTCCATTATATTATACATTGTTGAAAAAAAGATTGAAATTCTTTTTTCTATTGTAGAAACTGACAATGCAGGTCCCTATTGTTTCTCCATACTCACCTCTGTGACAAAACAGGGACATCAGCAGGATAAACTTTTTGGGTTCCTTCAGTTTTCTTCCTACCAATTATCATGGCATCTAACAGAAACAAGCAAAATGAAGTAAATGCATGTTATGATGCAAATTTTATTGAATTTCTTCAAATATTTCATAGATTTTTGAAAGTTTCGGCTCACAGTTTAACAAAGCTACCTGAATGAATTCATCCAAAACTTATAACTAAATGAAACCATAAAACCTGTCTCTGTTCTAAGATGGGGTACCTTTCAAGTTCTTCAAGTCTGGTCAAATTTTTAAAGAGCAACTTTAATTTTCCGGTTCCTCAAGAAAACATTAAAAGGTGGAAACAAAGTTCACAGGTCTGATTAGGATAATTTTACTATGAAATTTCCTCCTAGGAGACAATCTAACATATCAGATGAACCACTGCCACATGCATGAATAGGTTGAGATGGATATGGAGAAGCAAACTCACAACCGGGTTTTGCTCTAATTGTTTTATACAACATTCTTGTTATCACTTTCTTCCTGGGTTGGGGGAAACAGGTAACTCCAAAGTCCAACCAAATATATTATATAACAAGAACAAGAAAGCAGAATAGTAAATACAACCTGTGTCTTGCTAAAGCCTTTTGGGAAATGTATTTCCAGATATCTCTTCTATTCTGACATTGTTATTACACAGAACATGACAGAAAATGGGAAAAGATTTCCTGGAAGGCATGCAAAGATATTTCTTATGGGATGAAACCCCTGCCTCTCCACTAAATGGACATAATGTTTGTCTGACAGGCAACTATACTGAGTAGGCCATATCCACAAAGCTGATTTGCACATTCCTGCATTGACCCTCACCTATAAAGTAAAGGCAACTACATTGGAATTTTAATTATTTCTTCTAACAGAAAATGGCAAGAAAGTTGTCCCAGTTTTAGCCCACAGGGAAGGGGAAAGCGGATTGAAACTTAGTTACCACATGATGGGATGGCCCCCCATCCCCCTACACACACACACACAAACAAAACTATAAATCAGAAGAAACCACACTTATCTATATGTTTTGCAAATTGATAACCCACCAGCCTAAGTTTGTCACCTATAACCAATAGAAAAAGTATGTATTATTCATCATGGTAGTAGGATGAAGAAACAAAGAAGTTTCATAATACCACATTAATCTGAGATTGATGACTCCAAGCAAGCACATTTTGAAGAACAATAGTAACAGACGCTAAAGTCAAAACAGGAAAGAAAAGTGTATCAACAATCTGTCTTGCATGTGTTACACACGCAGCATGAGTCAGAATCCACCACTGGATGCACTGAAAAAAGAACTCCTCCAAGAAAGATGAGATAGAATAAAATAAAGAAGGTTGGACCATTCTAACCATTATCATCTTTCATATTTTTTGAGCAATCAAATGAAAACTCACACATTTGGGTCTTGAGAATATCCGATGGAAAAGGGGGAAAACAAGTCTATAGAATGGAGAGTTGGATTTTTTTAATCAATTAGAGCAGATCACTATGATGGGACCCCCATCTAATGGCATAACTGAGAAGCTTGCATCCATGGCAAGAGTGAAGAGACTGCCTTTATCATATATTTGTATTCAGAATAATTGACAAATGTAACTAAGGGTCCATTTGGTTCACAGTTGGAATTGAAATCGAAATTGGTATGGTCTATTCACATAGTTTGTTTGGTTCAGACATGAATTAGAATGGGGATTAGACTCAGGTGGAATGAGATTTCATTCCCAAGGGAGGAGGGAATGGGCATTCCCTCAAATGGTGGAATGACATTCCACCAGGAATGAGATTGGGATTCTGATTCCATCCAATCAAACAGTTGGAATTGGAATAGCCCATTTCAATTCCGATTCCAGACCTTTATTCCCGCAAATGAAACAGGCCCTAAATTAACAAGATGAAGAATTCATCCAGAATACTCTGGTGCATATAACACTGTGCTAAAGTTCGGGTAATTGGTAAATCATGGCAGCAGAGGCCCTTTAATCCATGCAAAAAATGATGAGACTACAGATTTTGACTACTTCCCAAAAACTACTATCAGGCCATTTAGACCTGAATAACATTAAGAATTAAAAACTTCAAAGAAGATTACTGACCTACATGGCTAAAAAAAGGAATATTCTTTTTAAATGTTAATGTGTCAGATGGTTTTACAATCAAAACTAAAAATTAACAACGATGCTGTGTCTGTATGACTGTATGCATACAGATAGAACATATGGTGCATTAGGCGGGATGCCAACTTGTGCTAAAACAGCACCAAAATTAAGTAATTAAGACATACTCTTCTTCATCCTCTACGCGCATAGAGAAGCGAGTAGTTATCATATCGTAAAGACTGAAATCTTCATATAATTCCAACATTAACAAACCATATGAGCCTAATGCTTGGTCTTGTGGTGGACCTGGTTGTACTGTTGTCACTTTCAACCAAACCAACAGCCAGTGACATACTCCAACTCCATGCATAGCAAACCTTCGTTATCACTTACCAGGAACTAACAAAAAGGATTCAATTTTGTTTGGGAATTTCATCAAGCATTTGATAAACAATAATGGGCACTGACTTCTGAGAACCTTGTTGATAATTGGTTTAAATGAGAGAGAGAGAGAGAGAGAGAGAGAGAGAGAGAGAACGTAAATCGTTAGAAACTTCGAGAGAAAGTGTCGAACAGTCTTACCACCTACTTGTTTTAGTCGTTAGTGGCGCAGCTGCCAGCTTGGCATTTATTAATGCTTTGCGAAATTCAACGTATGGTGAACCATGTCCACCACTGTACCAGCCTAACTGTCAGTACTGGGTCCCACCCGTACAGCCAATGAGCCAATTGACACAAAGCAATTGCTTTGGAACCGTGTAGAATTTTGTACATCCTTGTCATCCACCAATTACTTGAAGACACGTGCACTCGAGCCTGGAAAGTTCGGAGGTGAGGTGGCAAGTTCAAGTGCCACTTTGACCAACTTCCTCGGCCTTGCTCTTACCATGAGAAATTTGAGGGCTGAGATCTCCCAGTGATATAAACCAACGGCTTTGATGAGCAGCCTCCATTGATGACAGCGGAGCATGAATGCATCGTACCTATTACTTAATTCTTAAACTTTGTGCTGGCAGCCGACAAAATGTGCCAAAGACAGACGCTCTGACCCAGAAGTCTTCGTGCGGGTACACGAAATGACGTGGCGGGAATGAGTTGCCATGTGTTAAGAGGAGAAACGGCAGAACAACTGCTGGGACCCACGATTTAGCCCAAGGACCTAGGGTTCCGGAAGTATAAAACGATTCCCTCTCACCCTGCCACACTCTAGCGCGAGAGACGAGACAGAGAAGGAGAGAAGGAAGCACAAATGTCGACATAGGGATAGTGGAAGATTTCTCAGCAGTCACCATTTCTTTCTTCTTTTATTTTCTTTGTTTGTTTGTGTTTTCTTCTTCTACCTGTCTGCGTGTCTGTGTAGTGCTTGGTTTCCTTTTTAGGTGGAAAAGGAAAAGACGAGATCCGCACCGTAAAGCTGAAAAAGTTCTCTCTCTCTACTTATCTGTCTTTTCCATTTCAGTTCCTCTGTTTCTGTGGAGATTCATCGTATCGATGCTTTCTCCATCTATATGTATAGATTTACTTCGAACTTCGCTCGTAAAATTTCCCCCTTTTCGTTCTCCTTCTCTGTTCCTGATTTTCTCGTTCAAATTTGGATTCAATTCACTTCGTAAAGCCCCTTTTTCTTTGTATCCTCCGTGGATTCTCTGAAATTCTTAATTCACCTCGCTCTCCTACATTTGGTCAATTTCGTCTTACTTTCTTGTAAAATTCCTTCTTTGGTAAACTCTTCACGTCTGATTCTATCCTTCTGATGTTTTATTTCACCCCTCTGTTTCGATTGTCTCCGAATTTTCCTTCGAAACCCCCTTTTCTGTATTCAATTTCCTGTATATTTCTTCCATCGGATTCGTTTTTTATATGTTGTCTTAATTGTTTGAGATTTCGCCTCAAAATTTGATATTTCGAGCTTGATTCTCGCCTATGGTTGTTCACATCAGCTGTCTTTCTTATTTTTCTATCAATCTTCGCACGGATCAGACTGCCCTCGTGACAGTTCTTCCTGTCTGGGAATTGTCGTTTCCAAGGGAAGGAGAGACTGGCTTTCCTGATGGTGTCAAAAGGTAGAATAGCTTAGCTTAGCTCCTAAAAGTAATGGCAGATCGGGGTCGTTCAGTTTCAATTGAAGAATTGCCCACTCATTTGATTCTTGAGATTTTGAGTTCGGGCCGGTTGAGTGCGGCTGATCTCGCCTGTTTAGAGCAGACTTCTCGGATTTTCAGAGGGAATCATGACATTTTCCCCCTCAAGTTCCGATCTTTGGTTGATTTTGCTGCATTCCAGCTCTGTGCTTCGCATCCAATTTTTGGTTCTATGCCTCCAAATGCACAGAAAGAGCTCTTTGATCGGTGTCGTGAGAACTGGAAGCGGGTGCTGAGGTTCTTGCAGTCTGCGGAACAATCCTCTGACATGGTCGAGACCTCAGCAGGCAATGTACTATTTCTTTGACATTGTAATTAGTGTTAAATTCTTTTCCTCGTTCTTGAGTTTTGTACTAAAGCTAAACACTACCTCGCCACTTTTCTGTTGAAACTCCGGGTCTTTTTAGGAAGTATAATTTGTTAGCTCACGAAACAAGAATTTAGATTTTACATTCAACATTATAGTTTATACGCTGACTTATAGGGATTGGAATTCATTTTTATTCTAGTACTTACTGCAATGTCAATGCTCAGTAGGAAATTTGTAGAGTGAACACGAGTAATTAATCTAAGCGTGCTTTATTAGTTACTTTCGTGGTACTTTGCATGGACAATGAAGTCTTAAACTGTTAACATATCCTAATTTGAGGGATATGAGTTGACATTATGTGAATGTAGGTAGTTATCAAATTGATTTTTAAATAACAATCAAGTATTTCTGAGTTTCTTTAGAATTATCCTAAAGTTCATAAATCTCCTTGTCCTCAAAGATATCTGTGGAATTGGTAAATGGATCTTCTGTCTTTTCTAATTATAATATTCTTGATTAAAATAAATGCTATCAGAAAGAAATGTATCATTCAAATGCCACACGTCTTACCAATCTGAAATGCAAAACAAAGTGAAAAGAGGTTTGATTTAAAAGAAAAGAAATCGATTGATCAATTCAATCTCTCTTCTCTCTTAAAAATACAAACCGAAAAAACGTCCTTTTCATGATTGATTGTATTATGGGACAACTTTATCAATACTTAGTGATGAGAATTAAGGTTACTTGCTAGAAGCTGAGGGAATGTTTTCATTTCAGCAGATGCAGATTACCACTGGAAGATATCACACACTACTTATAAGTGGCTCGTCTGTATACTCTTGTGGATCCAATTTATGTGGCGTTCTGGGTCATTGCTCCGGTACCACACAGTGTGTAACATTTAGCCGGATAGACTTCCCATCTTCATCACATGTAGTTCATGTCTCGGCCTCCCACAACCATGCAGCTTTTGTTATGCAGTCAGGAGAGGTTTGTAGGCATTCATACTTTCACTAGTCTTAGTCTGGATTACAAAAAGTGTTTCTCTGTCTTGTTTATATTATGGCTCTGGGAACTGCTGCAATCATAAGGAAACATTCCTCTGTTTCCACCTTCTCCAACATTTGGTTTGGGTCTAATAATGCATTAAGGCAAAGTTGCTGCTTAAAGAGGTTTCTAATGAGGGCAAAGTGGATATTCCAAAATCTCCTAGCGGTGGGGGTGTGCTGGGAACTTTGTTGTGGCATTTATTGGTTGGTGATGTGGTTAACAAATGCATGGAGAAGAATATGCAATAATAGGGAAAATGTAGAGGAGGATATAGAGAAGTTTTCTCTAATATTGGTTGCTGCTCTCATATTCAAAATTCGATGGATTGGGCAATTCATCGTGCTGCTGCCAACTGTGGATTTCCTTATCTTTCTTATCTTTTATTTATTTATTATTTTAATGTTATACAAGGTCCCGGCAACATGGAATCTGAACTGTGAAATTGGAACCCACAATATTTGTTTCATTAAGTAGATTGCTATTTTGTTAGTTTTCTCTAATACTATAATTATTTGAACAATCATGTCCCTTCTAATGAACACCATTCCCTTTTGGTTTTTCCTTGTTTGAACAATCATGTAATATCCGTACATGGCCAAATGTGTCAGAATGTCTTTAAAATCTTGTTATATTGATTTTTTGTTTTTATGTGTATTTTTTCCTTCCCATTTTAGATTCTCTCTTCTTTCCCTTTAGATAACTAGTCTAGATCATATTTTTAAATTGATAGATTTTATATGCTGTCCAGCTAGATATTTAAGGTTGTTACATTACCAATTAGAGGGATGGGGGATCCTCTGGTATTTGCTCTTAAGTGCAAACTATTTGTGACTTTATCATGTAAGTGTTCATTGTCAATACAGGTATTCACATGTGGAGATAATTCATCATTCTGTTGTGGTCATGGAGAAGCAGGACGTCCTATTTTCAAGCCAAGAGTCGTTGAAGCACTGAGGGGAGTTCCTTGCAAGCAGGTATGCTGTTTGTGTTTGTATGGATTTTTATTTTACATAATCTATTATGTGATAGATGCATTTTATTTTGCTCTGTCTTGATGCCTTTGCATAAGGATGAGTTCCTTGCAAGCAGGTATGCTGTTTGTGTTTGTATGGATTTTTATTTTACATAATCTATTATGTGATAGATGCATTTTATTTTGCTCTGTCTTGATGCCTTTGCATAAGGATAACTGAAATATGATATATGCAAATAGTGATTTTTTTTTTAAAGATTCAGATAGTGATTGAGTTTTTTACATTTGGGTTGTGATTCTTGGTGCAACTTGTGAGCCCACATTAATGCATTTGGCTTTTTTTGTTTTTTTTTCTCATAATGATTTTTTTTCATAAAAAAATCATTAGTAAACAAGAAATATATAAGAAGTACATAAAAGGTTGTATAACCTTTTGTAGATATAAAAGGATGTATACTTAAATCTACAAAAGAATACTGCTATACAGTGGCACCTTTCTGGAAAAAAAAAAAGAATAAAAGAAAAGAAACTACTAACTGCAACAGAGTTGGGTTCTCTTGGATCTATCTGATACAATGTGAATATTTTTCAAACTTCATTGAGATAATGCCTAATATCCATTGACCTCTATTTTCACACCTACACCATGGGTAATTGACCCAGACCTAGTCTGAATAGTTTCCCGCACAACTTGATGTTTTATTTGTTTGTTTTTGATGAATATAGAGAGGTTGGGCACGTAAGATCTGATAAACAGATTTTATTGTCACAAATGAGAATAAAAGTTTCTTTAAGAATCTTTACCATTGGAGTTGTGTGAACCTGTTGCCTCATTAAAGTTGTTGTCTTAATCATTTCTCAGTGGCAGCTTCTATCAACTTCTTTGGCACTCTTCCTAATTTGTTGAATGTTATAGCCAAGAAATGTTTGTCATATTTTATAATGGAAATTACTGATTTAAATGCGATCAAGTTGAGTGAATTTAGTAAATTTCTATATGTGGATATTGTTTACATGTCATAAGACTGATAATATTTTTTTAACAGGGGAACATCTAAGGAATAGAAAAGTCAATTTAAGGGTGGATAAACCTAGCTTTTCTATAGAATCCTTGGACTGTGGTCCATGATTCATACATAACACATTAGAATAGATATTCTAGGAGTAGCAATAATAGTGGATAAGGATCTAAAAAACAAAATTGTAAATGTTAAAAGAGTTAATGATAGAATAATTTTAATTAGACTTATTTTATAGGAGGAAATCATTAACATAGTTGGTGCTTGTACACCTCAAGTGGGTTTAGAAGAAAACATTAAGAGACAATTTTGGGAAAATTTAGAATGACTAATCCAAGAAATTCCAAGTGAACAGAAGAATTTTTATAGGACTAGATCTATATGGGCATGTGGAGAAAAGAAGTGCAAGTTATGATAGGGTACATGGAAGATTTGGGTTTGGAGAGAGGAACATAACAGGAGATTCAATATTAGAATTTGCAATTGCTTATGATATGGTAATAATAAATGCATACTTTAAAAAGATTTATGAACATTTAATAACATTTAAAAGTGGAACAAACTTATGCCAAATACATTTTTTCCTTACTAGGAGAATAAAAAGATTGATGTATAAAGATTACAAAGTTATTCCAATAAAAAGCATAACCATACAACAAAGATTAATGGTGGTAGAAGTGCATATTAAAGAAAAGGAAGAGAAATAGTAGCAAATAGGTGCTTAAGAATTAGATGGGAAAATAAAAAGAGGAAACTAGTGCAATTTAGAAACAGGCTGGTAATACTAGAAGGAAAATGGAATTCATATGAAGAGATTTGCGATATGTGGCTTGAATATATATATATATATATATATATATATATATATATATACTAGAAAAAAGACATTTTAGGAGAATCTAAAGGAAATGACAAAGTGATGAAGAAACTTAGTGGTGGAATGATGTTCAAAATATAATCAAAGTGAAGTAAGCATGCTACAGAGATTGGAAAAAGACTAAAAATGTATAAAATTTGGGAATAATATAAAACCATAAGAAAGGAAGTTAAAAGGAAAGTGAGTGAAGCTAAATTTAAGGCATATGATGAACTATATCATAAATTAGGCAATAAAGAGGGAGAGAATGAAATTAATAAACTGGAAAAAATTAGAGAAAGAAAAGAAAGAGATTTAAATTAATTTAGATGCATTAAAGAGGAAGGTTAGAGAGCCTTAATAAAAGATTAGGAAATTAAGGAAAGATGGGAAAAATTATTCTGAAAATTTATTAAATGAAGAACATGTGGAGGCCAGAATGTGCTAGTGGAGGAGGGATTAAGAGCTCTAATAGTGCCAAGTAACACATACCTTCAAAAATTAGAATCACTAAAATGAAGAAGGCACTAAAAAAGATGAAGAAAAGAAAGGCTTTGGGACCTGATGGTATCCCAATAAAAGTGTAGAAAGGTATTGGAGAGGTAGGCTTATTATGGCTACCTAAACTATTTAATAAGATAATAAAAACAAAGAAAATGTCAAATGAATGGACAAAGAGCAACTTGATGCCTATATTTATAAACAAAGGTGGTATAAAGTTTTAATAATTCTCGTGGAATTAAACTCATGAACCACACTATGAAACTTTGGGAGAGAATAATTGAGAAAAGATTATAACATGAAACAAATGTTTTAGAAAACCAATTTAGGTTTATGCTAGGAAGATAAACCATGGAAGCCATCTTTCTGTTAAGACAATTTATAGAAAAGTTTAGAGATAAGAAGAGAGATTTTCATATGGTTTTCATTGATCTAGAGAAAGCATATGATTGAGTCCTAAGAGAGGTAATATGGTGGGTTTTGGAAAAGAAAGGAGTCTCAAATAGGTATGTGGACATAATTAAGAGAGTGCAAAAAGCAATGTTAGAACACCTATGGGAGAGACATCAGATTATACAATTACAACGGATCTTCACCAAGGTTCGGCACTTAGTCCTATCTATTTGCACTATTCCTTAAATGAATTGGTTAAACATATTTAGGAGGAAGTCCCATGATGTTTCATGCTTGCTGATGACATAGTATTAATTGATGAAATTAGCAAAGGGTTAAATGCAAAATTAGGTTTATGGACAACTACTTTAGAAACAAGAGTTTCAAAATAAGTAGGACTAAAATAAAATATATGCCATGTAAATTTAATAATAATAGGAGCGTAAGCCAGGGTACACATGGGATTAGAGACTAAGAGTAAATCAGTGTGATCTCTTCTATTGCCTTGGTTCAATAATTCATAACAAAGGAGAGATTGAGGAGGATTTTTTTTTGATGAATAATAATAAATTTACTAATTCAGAAGCTGATTTAGAGTTGTGAGTTCATACAACATCTGAGGAAGAGACGCGAGCTGCAGCCCCTCCTTGAGGAGGATTCCGCTCATAGAATTAGAGCAAGGTGGGCAATATTGAGGGGTGCATCCACAGTTCCATGTGATAGGCGAATACCAGTTCAACTAAAAGGAAAATCTATAAAACAGTTAGAAGGCCAGTTAAGAATCAGCATCTCCAAAAAAAATGAGTGTTGAAGAAATGCAAATGCTTAGATGGACGAGTGGTACAGTACTGGTACTTGAAAGGACAAGGTTAGGAATGGCGTTAATACAGAGGAACCTAGGAAGTCTCCAATAGGTAATAAAATGAGAGAAAATAGATTGAGATGGTTTGGTCATGTGCAATTGTGCATAGAAGCCCATCTACAGCACCTGTTAGAAAAAGTGATTTGCTTCAAGTTGAAGGAGCTACAAGGGGCAGACCAAAAAGGACTTGGGTAGAGGTAACAAGAAATGATTCAAGTGCCCATAATTTAATAATAGATATGGCACTGACCAAAATAGAATGGTGAAACAGGATTCATGTAGCTGACCCCATATAGTTGGGACAAGGCTTAGATGATGATGATGTGAGTTGTATCAGATCTCCCCCTAGAGTGCTAAGAATTACTGTTATTCATGTTGTATTGAATTTACTGTTGCTGAAACACTTTTTTACTTGGGTATCTGATGGATTTAGTGGTTACCACATGTTTCATTATTGGTGGAACTTGTTTCAGATTACTGATACATCATTAATTCATTATTAATTTCACCACCTTGTATTACCCAGTTGGGTTCTGCATCATCACAAGTTATTCTTCCTGTCTGTTCCATCTAAGTTCATACCTTATATTAATGAATGAACCCATTATTTTCTCCTCAAACAACCATATTCTTTAGGGCTGTGGTTAAACAAAAACCATACTTCTCTTGGTTCTCTTGCAAGTTTAGGAATGTAGCTGCTATTCAAGGTATATTTTATTGCATTACTCCTTGACAAAAAGAAAATCATCCATGAATTGATGTTAGGGCTCCATTTTTTTGTGGTAAAATTTCATTTGAAATAGTACAAATGAATGAAAGTGCAAATGAAAAGAACACAATCTCTGGTTTACTTTTGCTTTGGGTTTTACTTTATTATTTTTGTTTTGGATTTTATTTTACTTAATTTGCAATGCAAACAAATAAGGTGAGGCAAATCTGAAACAGAAATAAACCAAAATTTGCACTGAAATCATTTCCAGCCCCATACTTGCATCAGTACAAATGAAATTGCACTGCAAACAAACTAGGCGTAAGGCAATTCGTTCAGTGTAGGCATCAAAGTATCCCATGAAGCTTATCTAGGAAGTCATTTTGTATCTTGAATGAAATTGTTCCTCTATTCATATGCAGATCTGCATGCCAATTGTATAGTAACATGGAATAACCTTTTCCACAATGAGTAGTTTTTTCCTCCTTGTAAACCTTATTTGTCTCAACTACATGATTTTCTGATTGCTCCACATACTTACTGAAGGCTAAATATGATCTAAAATTGATTTGCATTCCTTTTTTCTAGTCCTCAACTGAAGATTGTTTTTATCCCCCCACCCCCAACAATATTCCAGGTTGCAACAGGGCTTAGTTTTACCATGTTCCTTACAAGGGAAGGCCATGTATACACATGCGGGACAAACACACATGGCCAGCTTGGCCACGGTGACACTTTAGACAGGCCAACACCAAAAATTGTTGAACAGCTTGAGGGCGTTGGTTTTGTAGTTCAAGTTTCTGCTGGCCCAAGTTACTCCTTAGCTGTAACCAGTGATGGGACAGTTTACTCCTTTGGGTCTGGTTCCAATTTCTGTCTTGGACATGGAGAACAGCATAATGAACTCAGACCACGTGCAATCCAGTCATTTAAGAGGAAGGGAATTCATGTCATCCGTGTCTCTGCTGGGGATGAGCATGTCGTGGCACTCGATTCAAGTGGATATGTTGGTTTCTTTACTTGGAAACTGGGTACTTCTAATTTTTCATATTGTGTGGATATATTCATATTCGCATAATAACTGACACTATTCTTTCCACATAAATTTTGTTTGCAGGTATACACATGGGGCAAAGGATACTGTGGTGCATTGGGTCATGGAGATGAGATCGATAAGACTACTCCAGCACTATTGAGTGGCCTCAAGAGTCACCTTGCAGTACAGGTTGGGTTCTTTTCTTACATCCTACTATCTATCTTGATCAAAAGGTGTTCCCAATGGGGAAATCTCCAGATTAATAAATGAAGGAAATGAGTAAAATGTGATTCTTACATTCAAGGGAAATTTTATTTCTAAGTAATATAATAATCTGTTTGTGTGAAAGTAACCTATTTCTGCACAATTATTGTGAGCTTTGTTTCTTCTATTATTTATTTATTTATTTTCCTTTTTCTTTGGGGGTTGAGGGGGGATTTTGTCCTTGTATACAAAACTCTATTATGTGCATCAATTTGAGTTCAGTAATCAGTGTGGTACTGGATTCACCCACAGAGAAGCAGAGATCAGATCAGATCAGATCATACTCATGGGCCTGGGTTGTGCAGGTCAGGTCATGTATTTCTCTTGGTTTATTGCCAGCCCAGTCAGATTCTGATTTTGTAGGGTTGAGGTCCAAATTGGGGTGAACATGGGCTGGATTGGGCTTAGCACAGTCTTCCAGGCCTACAAATTTCAAATATGTAAAATATATGTAATACTTATATAAATAATTATGCTATATAATATATTATATGTTTGTATATATGCACGCATAAATTCAACTTCATAGAAATTTGATAAAAAATTAAAAAAAAAAAAAAAAAAAAACTGAGAACCAAGTGTCATTGACCCTGTTACATTCTGAAATTCATATACTTCCATATTAATCAGGCATTTGTTTACATTAACCAAGAGGACCCAATACCTACGTCTTTTTAGCAGTCAGTCTTGCCATATTGTACATGTTGCCGATACATTTGCCATTGGCCCATGGCCGGTAAGTCAGCCTGCCACCTCTTGGATAGTATCAGGCTCATTACAATTGGACAATCTTCTTATCTGATTTAGAGCTTAAACTTAGATCCTTACAAAAAAAATTATTAGGCAGTACTTACGGAGTATATCAGTAATGCATGTTATTAGATTTGATAAATATCATTTTAGAAGAATAACCTTGGTCGTTTATCAACAGACTGAATGTTAGTTGGTAGATCACCCTGTGGTAAGTAGATAGTAACTAAACAGGCATCTTGCGGTCTGCACCAACATTCTCTTCCAATTTTCTGTCATTTCGTCACAGATTCTTTTATACACAATTTTTATCAGTATTCTTTTACATAAATTCGGAGATTTGATATTGCAGAACCAATAACAGTGTCACAAGGGAATCAGTTATCAGTATATCTGTAACAAGAAATAATCAAAACTTTGCATGGGAAATGGTGGGTTTTCATATGTTGATGTTTGTATTCATTTATCTCCTTTTTCCGACCATGTTATTCCCATGTTATCTCTGTGTTTGATCTGAACTATGTGTAGGTGTGTGCAAGAAAGAGGAAAACCTTTGTTCTAGTGGACGATGGTTCTGTTTTTGGTTTTGGGTGGATGGGTTTTGGGAGCTTGGGGTTTTCAGATAGGGAAATCTCAGACAAAATCATGAAGCCTCGAGTCCTGGATAGCTTAAGATCTCATCACATTTCTCAGATAAGCACAGGGCTGTACCACACTGTTGTAGTCACTAACAGGGGCCAGATATTTGGGTTTGGAGACAACGAAAGAGCACAGCTCGGACATGAATCATTGAGAGGATGCCTCAAACCAACAGAGATCATTGTTCCAGAAACAGTGGATGAGGATGTCCATGTGGCGGAAAATCAGAAAATGTATAACCCTTGAGGAGCTGCCTTCTTGTATATCAAGAATGTGAGTTTGTAGTCTACAAGTTAATAGAAGCAGTTTGTTTAGCATCCTTCCCACATGATTGTCCAAAATGCAGACAGAATTAGAAAAAAATTGTCTTTAACCCAAAAGGTAAAAGGTTAAGTTATTGTTGTTTAGCAGATATACTGTTGCTTGTTTTCTTCGATAATGTGATCCTGAAGACCTTGATACGAGATTCAAAAGCCCAAAGGTGTTGTAATGATCCATCTACTTGATGTTTTGGTGCATGGTGCATCTGCAATAAGATTTTTTTTTAAGATTTTTAAGGCTGTTTTCGGTTCCATTTTGATTTTTTTAAGAGAAAAATAAAAATTTCATTTAACAAAAAGAACTATTACAATCTGAGAGGTGACAAGATGACACCTCAGAAAAGAAACATACTGGTCAACATTACAAGCTTGAATTCCAGGTACATTCCATAAAACTCTCCCCCAAATCTGCCGGGATAAACTAAGCAAAATCTGGGAACAGTAGAATCCAGTCCAACACTAATCTCCAACCGAAACCACCACCATCTCAAAAACTCTTAGCTTTGTTATTGAACAACCTTCTGTTCCTTTCGTTCCAGATTGCCCAACATAGCAAATGGAATTCAGGTTCAAATTATCCTTGCTTTCCTGCAACCTCAGAACATTGGCCAACTAGGAAAAAATTTTCTACTGTGGATCTTGGCTGTAATTCTCTGACCCCAAGGAGGAAAGAAATTCCAGCAAAATTTGCAATCTTGCAAGAAAAGAAAATGGCCGATTGACTCCTCTTCCGAACAGCACAAGTAGCAGCACCTCTCCAAATTGGCGAATGGCAAATAGACGACCCAACAGCAATAACTTCACTCATTCTCCACTGCACTGATCTCTCCCCCAAATAAATCTCTTTCCTCATATTCACATCAAACTTCTCCAGTTTTGAACCATATTCTCCTTCTACTCTCCCTCAGTCCCCTCACATTCCAGCTTAGCACCTACATCTTTCTTCCTTCCTCCTAACTACCTTTCGGAATTCAGAGCTTCTAACCCTTTCACCCTTATTCTTCTTCAACCAACAGCTCCTCTTCTCCCCTATCTTCATCCAAAATCCGTTATCTTTTTCCAAACTTTCTTTTCTTCTAACCTCTTTTTTCAAACTGTTCAAATGCAGCCCTTGCACCTTCCCCTCCCTAAAAGAGCAGGGCCAACCGGCCAAAGATTTACCAAGTGCAGTACAAATAACAACTCTCCTTTTTATTCTTCTAATGAATTTGACCTTACATGCATTGTGAATTAGTACATGTGTACAAGCATGTCTTTTTTTTTACAATATATTTTTGCCACGTGTTGAACCTTGCTTTAAGAATTGAGACCCATAAACCACTGTGGCAGGTCCGGCTGTACCCCTTTCCTGAGAGTAGATATAGTTTACATGTGGAGGATGATTGATGAATACGAGATGTTTCTGATAACATACATTCGTAATCCTGAAATGGGGATCGTAGTTCTGATTACTAGTTCTATTCAAGGTTAAAGTATCGGTATGTATTGGGGCTTCCTGATATGCCCTTACAGGGGGTCTTTTGGGGTCTAAGCTGGTTCATGGGTGGATGAATTTTAAATCGACCCCTATGAATCAGATTTGAAAAAAAAGCTAAAAAAATAAAGAAACAGCTACCAATACACTTTTACTAGCATATCGAGTGTATCGATATTTTGAATCTTGGTTCTACCATATCTGTTTATTGTCGATTTTGTGAAATTACTGTGCAAACTGCAAATAAAGTCGGCTTTGGTCAAGGCAAGCCCGTGCTCACGGCGTCCCAACAGCCTCATGCATCTGGAATATGTCCTCATGAAATAAAACACATAAATATGGAGATATTCTCAATGCAAAGCTGTAAAGACTGTTCAAACGGGCATTGTCTTGATGAAAGCCGAACTCAGTGCAAATATTACTAAGGTTCAAAGTATTGATAATATATGCCACGTAATTTTTTGATACAGTTATTTAAAGATATTTCAGGAAATTAATATATATATATATATATATATATATATATATATATATTAAAATAAAAAGGCTGGGATAAAAAGTATCCATGCACCCCTGCCAATACATCAGGGTATACCAATTCTTTAAACAATGAATATGACTAGTAAATTGCAACTGGTAGGGTGAAGCTTTAAGTTAGGGGGTAAATGCTACGGTTACTTCAAATTGAAACGTGGCTGGAGACAAGGTGACACTCTTTTCACCTTATCTATTTATTATTGGGATGGAGATACTAACACATTTGTTAGTGTGTATCGGAAGTGAAGACCTCATTGAGGGAGCAAAGATTTGCAGTATTATTTTCTGTAAGATGGATCTGCTACAAGTTAGAGCTCTAAGTCAAATTCTATTCACTTTTGAACAATTCTCCGGACAAAAGATCAACCATGAAAAATCTTCCATGATGTTTAGTAGCGATGTTCTAAGACATTATCGGAAGTTCATCACTCATATCCTAAAGGTCCAAAAACCTCTACAAGACACAAAATATTTGGGCACCCGAATAGGAGTGCAAGATAATAGAATATCAACGCATCAGTCCCTAGTGGACCGGGTGATCACCAAAATTACTTCATGGAACTCCAGATTTCTATCTCAACCAGACCGTACAACCTTGATCCAGTCAGTCCTCCAAGTTATTCCAATTTACTCCATGCAGACTCGTTCTTCCTCAAGGAACACTCTTGAAACCGAACAAGTTAATGAAGGATTTTTGGTGGAATGCGGGTGAAAATAAATCAAAGCACACAATTCACTGGAACAAAGCTAGCCAAGCAAAGCAAATGAGGGGTTTAGGCTTCCGGAAAGGTAAGAACATGAATAAGGTAGTTTTCGGTAAACAAGCATGGAGACTCATCTCCTCCCCCCACACATTGTGGTGCCAATTCATTAAACAAAGGTATTTCCCAAGTCAAAGTTCATTCCATGCCAAAAAAAACCCATAACTCATCATTGTGGTGGCACTCAACACTCAAAATTTTAAAAGAGTTACAACCAAATGTATTATGGCAAGTCTGTTATGGGAGGGACATCCAGATTTTTCAAACCCCTGGATACCCAACTATCACAGGCGGTATTCCTCACTCAAAAGACCCAACCCTTGTGACTTATAATAACCAATATGTTTCATCTCTGTTAAACCTGGACCGGAGTTGGAACCACCTTATCTTGGTCCAGCTTTTTGATGAACAAACCTGTTCACATATTCTTCAAATTATCCCCAACATAGAATCCAATCATGATAACATCTTGTGGAAATGTAACATTTGGGAGATTTATACAGTGAAGTCTGCGTACAAATCCTTTGAAACCCAACAACCATCATCCTCTCAATCATATTTCCCTTGGAAAGTCTTGTGGAAACTGAACATCCCCTACAGATGCATACTGTTTGTTTGGAAAGTGGTGTGGAATGGCCTTCTGACTCGCAACAAATGCAAGAAATGGCTCCCTCCCTCTGAAATATAGTGTCCCTTCTGCAAAGCTAGCAAAGAAACTGCTCAACACATTCTCTTTACACGCCCCTTCATGAGGGCGGCCTAGTGTGAAACACAGGAAAGACTGAACCCCGATGACATTAACAAGAAAGAGGAAACTTTTGTTTCCATAAAAAAGTAGTGGGACAGACTTAAAACGAATTTACCATCACATGAGGTTAGTCATCTTGTTGGTAAAGGCTGCACAATTTTATACATTCTCTGGAGGGTTAGAAATGAAATCATTTTTGAACACACAAACATCATCCCAAGGGATATTATACTTCGAATGTGGAAGTATCGGACCAATCAAGGACAGTGCATGGAAGTTGTAAGGAACACCACCCCAACAAACATGACAAGGAATACTCCCACCTCACTACACATTGATGGATCGTATGATTTACTCTCAGGTCTTGCAGGACGAGCTTTCATCATGTAATGTTCCGGTGGAGGCACAAGTCTTACTGAAGGAGAGCCATGTTGGGCCATCAACAATTATGATGCAAAAATCCGAGCCTTAATCCAAGGCTTAAAGGCAGCCAACCAGAACAAGATATCAAAGCTAAAGATATATAATAACTCTTTGCAGCTGATCAATTTTTTGCAAGATAAAAGTCAACCAAAAAAGTGGATTGAACAGTTACATTGCACACAATTGATAAGGCTTTTATCTACTTTTGAACAACTTATCTTTGTACATATAAATAGAAACTATAACAGGGCTACTTTGTACAACTATCTTTGCCTCAATGTCAAGTTTGGCTGCTTTTCTTTTTGTCAAAAAAAATGGTAGAGTGAAGCTTGAATTGCTGATTGCTCCAACTCAAGCTCGGCCCAAGTGTTTAGTAGGTTTGTCTTGCTGCAACTTCGGGTTGTTCTTGGGTTGAATTCTAGGCAAATCTGACCCAAGTAGATTCTGACAGTTCGAAATCAATGGGTCCGAATCCGAAACAGACAGCATTTGCACGTATCTAGACTCTAGGCACTCCATACGGGAGATTCCCAACTGTGAACATTTGATTTGGTTGATTTCCTCTCTCAGTCTTTCTCTCTCTTGGCTGCAACATTTGGTTGATGATAAACCACGTGGACCAACTGTGCAAGATTTGGTTGGTTGTCTTGTCTGTCACTGAATAGGTGAATAAAGAGATATAAAGAACATCGGTTTTCAGTAGTAATCAATATTGCATGTAATATCAGATTATCAGACCCACGGTCACTGTCAGGTTTTCCCCACTTAACCATGGGCCAGTGCCCAAAGCCGCTCCATACAAGTGATCGCAGTTTAGCCTTTCTGCAGCGCTTTCGGTCAGAGTCGTCAGACCCTTGTCCTGTCTTCCAGTCTCCAGGAAATGGATTTGAAAGTTCACTTCCCATTCTCTTCCGCTTTTATTTTTCTACGGAAAATGGATAGTCAGAACCGGAATGGCCACTCTCCAGACAATCAAACTAACCTCTTCTGAGTTCTGTTTGTGTTGGGGTTTGGGTGTTTATAGTTTCGTCAATCACTTCTTCCAATTTTAATGATCTATCTAGCTTAGTCAACGATGTTTTCAGTTTTCACAGGCCACCATTTGCCTATTATTAATTACTTTACTAGCAATGGTCTAATGGATAAGTGGTGAATGGTTCTTTCATCAAACAGCTAATCAGACCCATCACACCTTTGTAATGTAATCCCATCGGAATTGGATCAGATATAGGCATTACATTCGCGTCCAATCTAAGTTGACCCAATCCATAAACCCGAATCAACTCGGAAAACTGGATTGGGTTGGGTTGAGTGATAAGTCAACCCATTGATTCAATTGTTAAGTATAATTTAGATTATTTATGTATTGTTAAAAGTTTTTATTCTATCATTTTTATGTTTTAAATATTAAGATTAATTTTTTTAATTTTGACATTTTTCATGCATTTAATGACCCAAATTGATCATGGGTCAACCCTAACTCAAACATTTAGAGTTAGGGTCTAGCACTTGTTGACCTAACCCGACCATCAACACAATTGCCAGTTAGAGTATAAACAATATTAAAAAATTCGAATTTGAATAATTCAAATATTTTCATGGTTGAATTTCGGATATAAAAAAAATTACCATTTAATTAATCGAATCAAATTCGAATATAGTTTGATTTGATTCGTTAATTATTCGACCGACCGATTATAAGTATTTTAAATATGTAAATTATATATAATACATGAAATGTTCAGAAAAAACTGTCAACAGTCAATTGTTAGTCTTTATTATACCGATCATAATATATTTTAAATATATAAATTAAATATAATATATGTGATATAAAAAAAAAGCTGTCAACTGTCAGCATTTATCGTTTTGTCTAATTCATACTCAAAGGTTTCTGTCTAACTCCATATACATTTTAGACAAAAAGATGGATTTCTCTCATGACTCACTTTATTTTCCCTCGGTCAATGATCCCTCCACTGCCTCTTCTTTTAGGCTTCCCCATTCCTTTTACTCTTTGAAGTTTAAAAGTAGGAATCACCGATCACCGATGCATATACATTGCCGGTAACTGCTATTTTGTGGAGGAGTTGCCGCTGCGTATAACATTACCCGCCACTGCTATTTCATGGAGGAGTTGCTGCTGCGCATATAATATTACCGATTGCTTCTATTTTTGTTCCCTTTTTTACACTTTTCATATACTCGCATAACATTTTCTACTTAAAATCTCTCGGGTTTCGTTTAACCGAAAAGCGAAGAGTCGACAACGACACATCGGTATATTCTGGTCTGAACCTGTTTATCTAATTTGAATCGAATTTGGATATTCAACGGTTGAGACGAATTCGAATTCGATTTGGGTTAATTTTAAGCTCCGTGGGATATCAAATCGAATTCGAATAATTTATATTTAATCAGAATCGAATTCGAATATGACCCTATCCGATTCGAATCCGCTCCGTTTACACCCCTAATTGCCACGTCTACATCGCATTATTGAACCTTTTTTATCCAAATCCGATCGGAAATCGGATATGCCGGAGCCGGACTCGGACCGGATTCGGATTAGTCCGCATTCCACTTACTGCACCTAAAAGTTAAACAGACAAAAAAAACATTAAAAAAGTTTAAAAAAACTAATTACTTAACTTATAAATATATAATAATTTAATAAATGTATATAAATATTAACTATATTTTTTTATAAATGAACTTATAATTTTTTATCGAAAATGCAACAAATTCGGTCAAGCTTCACGACAAATAAAAACACTCATGTTTCACAAAATTTTGAGATCAAAGAAAGAAATATTTCACAACACCGGGTTATTTTTCGAAGTTTGTTGTTGATCCACGCTTTGTAATTTGAGTCTCTCCCCGGATTCTACTCTAACGACATAACGAGTCCAAGTGCTCTCGGAAAACCTTCAACATGTCGGAGAAAGTGACAATTCCGGCCAAGCTGTAGTCGTCTTCAATGACCCACACGTAATTCACACGGTGGGCCAGCGCCTGAATCATCACCGCCACCAGCGAGCTCCTTGGATGGCACACGATGGCCTCCGCTCTCCCCACCATCCTCGCCGAGTAACTTCCCTGCCGGCTGTACCTGCGCGACCGCACAGGCGCCCTTGGCGACGACGAAGAGGACTCCTCGTCTGACGAACACGATGACGACGAAGACGGGGAGAATTCCTCCAACAACTCCAACATTCCTTCAAACTTCCTCTCTTTCAACCTTGCCTTCACCACCTGCACCAGGGCTTCCGGCAGACCGCCGTAGTCGATGTAAGCCATTAAATCGCCCGCTGAGAGGGTTGTAATTGCCGCTGCGACCGTTTCGTCGCAGCTTGACAGGGTGTATGGGGAGATCTCCCCGATTAATTTCCCGTCATCATCTACGACGGCGACGGAGGTCTGCTGAGACAAGGAACTCGAGATTAAATCCACAGCGGAATAGGCCGGATCGTGATATTCGATGGCCAGGACTTCAGTGCCGATGATGCCGAGAGAATCGATCGACAGAGCCGGGATGGGTGAAAAGAGGCTGATGGAGCTCAAGAGGAACCGGATGACATCCTCTTGGGTGAGCCAGCAGAATTCACGTCCATTGTGTTGAGTGGGACCAAATGAAGATTTTTGGAGGAGCTTCTTCCTGCTGCTGATGCTGCTCTGTATTGGAACTACCAGGTTCTGGGCGCCTTCCATTATAAGATCAATCACCTCTAATATGCTGAAAATTAAGGAAAAAATATCAAAATTTAGGGAAAAATAAAGAGCTTTAATGGGAAAAATATGTACGTTAAAAATAGAGTCCCGGAAGAATATGGATTAAATTAGAAAGGAAAATATGTTAAGAATTTTCATAGCGAGTATGAAACAACTTAACGAAAAACGTAAAAAAAGGAACGAGATAAAATCCGCCAAACTAATAAGAAAACAGAATGAAGCTTGGATTTGCTTCCAAATTCGAACCTTGAATGACGCTCTACATGCCTCACTATTCCTGCTGGCTTCGTGAGAAGAACAGAGACCGGAGATGTAAGCGCAGAGGAAGGGGAAGCAAGTTTCTCCTCTTTACAGAGATAGCAGATCACATCGACCATGCAAAGCTTCCCGACACATCGACAATCCTCGAAACCGACTTTCGCATTCGAGGAGTGATCACAGCTCCAAACGCTGATAAAGTTGTCACCCGACCCCTTGAGCATCAACAACGCATCGCTAACGGTGGCGGAAACGGAGAGCGATCTCAGCGCCGGTTTTCCAAGACAGAGGTCGGATACCTCGCGAGCCAACAAGCTAACTGCCATACAAGAGAAGAAGAAACTCTGAACAGAAGCCCTGCAGAAACAAACCTTAAGAAGGATGCAGAACGAGACAGACCCTCGAAACGACGAGACTCGGCGATGGTAGTGGGAACCTGGAGGGTGTCATCGTATTGACGAAAGTGTGGGGTATTTATAGACGGAGTTTTACCGGGAACTGGATTAGCCGGAAGACCCTGTTCGCAAGATAATGCGGTTTAGAGAGCGGCGGGACCCGCCTTACGGTTTGGTTTTTATTGTTAAAAGAAAGAAATACAATAGCTTTGTAGTTTGTACTTTGTTGAGCGGCAAATTCGCTTGATTTTCCTGTTTTTGGGAACCGGGCCAACTTTTTGGGGCGTAGCGTAACCTACAAGAGCACGAATTTACCAGGGCCGGTGCCGTTGGTTGAGCCGGTGGCTCGAACCACTTGAAACGGGTCGAATTCATTCATGGTTCGGTTGGTTTTTGAAGTTGGAAGTTGGATATCATTTCCAAAATTATGAATTTCCCGATGTTGCCATTTTTTTAATGGCTCTCTTAGTATGATAATTATGTCCAAAGGTCAAAATTGGTTAAGGTTTTTTTAGTTTTTTCTTTTAAAACATGGAGAGATATCTAGGAATGGCAATGGGACCCCACCTCAAAGTCACGATACTTTGTCCCGTATCCGCCTCGTCCCCGTGGCGGGGCATCCATTCTCCATCGAGGATGGGGAGTCCCCAAATTTTCTCTGCTCTAAAGCAATTACTTAAAAAATTATCTATTTTATGGACAATTTATACATAGGATATAGAAATTTGAAGGTATTTTAGAATTAAATTATAATACTTTAGGGGTAATTTAAAAATAAAATTATGGGATCATAGGATTTTAAAAATTTAGGAAAAACTTAGAGATATTTTAAATATCAATATTAAACCTAAAGATATTTTACTAATTTACCTTCAGGTTCGGGGCGGGTTCAGGAAATTATATAAAACCCATCCCTACCTTGTACCCGGTTCGGAGAAAAATTATTTTCCCCGTCCCCGCCTCGTCCTTGTTTAGGGTTGAGGAAAACCCGCCCTGTTCAAGACAGGGCTGGGTAGGGCCCCGGTTTTACGGGGGAAATTTCCTCCATGCTAGAGTTTCACAAAAATGAAGATCTCCCTTTTTCTTCTTCCCCATTTCTTTCAAAGCAAGTAAAACCAATCGTTGGTCTTACTACTACTACTATCACAAGCAAAATTGAAAAAGTTCAAATGATTCTAATTCCAACTTTCAAATTAATCAAACAATAATTATTAAGTGTGCTCACAGTTAGTTAATCGAACCATGGGGTATTTTTTGGAACCGAACTGATACTATCGGTTTTTAGAAAACTGGTAACCAGAATCGAACCGAAGCCAATCCATAAATCAATTGACTGGTTTGGTTAACCGTTGGTTCAGTTTGTCATTTCTTTAGTTTTTTATTTTTACAATATATATTATAAAAATATATAAATATATATAAAATAATTTATAATATATAATATATTATAAATATATAATTCATATTTATTAATTTATAATAAATAAAAATATATGTACGCTGATCAATTCAATTAATCACCGTCTATATTGGTTTTAACCGATAATTTTAAAAACACCAAACCGACCGATTCAGTTAATTGATTTTCGGTTCGGTTTCAATTGGTTTTTCGGTTTTTACTCACCCCTAATAATTATTAAAATCCAACTTTGATTCTCATATGAACCAAACATGCATTTGGAATAAGTAATTTCGATTCTAATTTCAAAAGACTTCGGTTCCAATTCTCATTCTAATCGTGATCGTGAACCAGAAGGACCCTTAGGTCTTAGTACAAAATGGAGAAGTCATTCCAAAAGTTTAATTGGACTCTTTTTTTAATAAAAATGGCTGCATTGTCAATGAATTCTCTCATGCCTGGCGAGACATCCAATTCAATTAGTATTTTTGGATGTTGGTGAAGGGTGATTTGGCCCGACCTAGTAAAAAGGGACACGTGAACACGACCTGACCAAAAAATGACAAATCAGTCTGATAAGTTCAGTTCGCAACAATTGGGCTTGGATATTCAGTCACCTCGGCACAAAGGCCGCCTCGGCTCAAGGCTCACCTCGTAACAGGGCCACCTCGTCGCAAGTCTCACCTCGGAATCGAGGCACCTCGGTATCCAAGCCAGTTCGGAACTAAAAGACTGAAGTACCAGTTCAGAACCAAAAACTCGAAGTGCCACGTAACTGACTCCCACATAACCAATTCCAGAGGTCTCTCCAACGAATCCCGAATCCCTCGAGATCATAATGAGTTAACAAATCCCGACTTTTCCGGGATCACGATAAGGACTTATCCTGACTCTGTCGTAATCGGAGGTGAAACGAGATAAGCCTTACCTGTATACTGCTCTTGCAGAAGTGAAGCGAGCTCCATCTCCACATCCCGGATATCCCGGAACTCTTTCGTGTGCCCCACGAACACTCAACTATATAAAGGCTTCAACCCCGATAGCATAAGGTACGCATGATTTCTCTGCTCTCTAGTTCTCTAGCTCTCTACATTCTCAAAGTTATTCAGCTCGCATCAGAGTAATAACTTAAACATCGGAGCGACCTCGTCGGACTAGCCACCCCAGGTTCTTTGATCTTGTTCTACAGATTCGCCTAGCTTGCTGTTTGACTGGAAGCTAGATCATCCTCCAACAGGGAGCAGCTAGATCGTGCAATATCAGATGTTAAAACCTCTAATAATCGGATTAGATGTGGATTTCACCCCATCTGATATGATAAAATCTAAATTCAATTGTATCATTGTATGTAATATAACAATGCATATATAGATAGTATATGTACTATTTTATTAATTTTTTTCTTTATTTTAATAATAATAGATTAAAATAGGATGAAACACAAATCTAATCTTAAATCAGAAATATGGAATAAGATTTGAAATTTCAACTCAGAGGCCAAACCATTTTTGTCCATAGTTCATAGGTTACTGGTTTGACTATTTAGGTCGAACGGGTTAGACTATGTCACATCAACATTTTTCATGTATATGCATTATATGCATATATAAGCATACATTTTATCAATAAAATAATGTATAATTGTTTTAAAAATAATTAATAATGTATATATAAGTATTATTTTTTGTTTAATTATATTTTTAATTCAATTTAAAAATTTTTATTTGTACAAATGTTAAAAATTGGAATTTGAGGCTGAAAAAGTTTTTTTTTGTGCAAAAATAATGGGCAAGGCACCTTCATCACCTTAGGATGCATAGATCTTGAAAAATTACCCCAAATAAATAAAAAACAATCACTTCAATCGAACAATTGAACACAAAGTTATAATCTCTAAAAAAATTTGCACATACATTGAGTGTGCAACCATGACCTAAAAATTGGGCTAAATGGGTCAACAACTCAATCATCCATGTCATACATTTGTTAACCAAATGTGAAGTTTTATGAGAATTAATCAACAATGGGTTGAAAACTGGTTTAATCCCATTTGATTGCAATGCCTAAGTTTCGATAAATTGGTTTCCTTTTTTTTTTTGAAATCGCCTTTAGGCATCATATTTCATTCAATCAAGAAATTGATACAAAAAAAAATGTTGACAAGGCCAATCAGAAACCCATAAACAATTTCTTAAGAGAACAAAATATAAAAATGGATGAAATAGAACATAAAGAACTTTTGCAACCGAATAAAGGTGAATAAAAATCATCAATAGAAGTACAAACACATCTCCAATCCACCATAAACGGCAAATGAAACTGACAATAGAGAATTCCAAAAGACAACCTTCGCCAGAGAAGTGTGAACGAAACTCACCATAAACAACATCTTCCAGAAAACAGCAAACTGACTCAATCATAGATGGCAATCGTGAAATTATATCCACCAGTAACAATCGTCCAATAAAAAGCCAAGTGAAGAACTCTATATCAAAACATAGATGGGAGAAAAACAGGAAGAAAGAAGAACCCAAATGGGAGAATCCAAAGAACAAAGCCTCGAGAAAACTCAAAAAAATTCGAAAGAAAGCCTCTCTCAAAACAGAAAAAGAAAGAAAAGGAAAAACCAAATAAAAAAAGGAAAAAAAAAAAGGGAAAGAAAAACCCAAATGAACGGCTCCCTTTGGAGCTCCCCGAAGGGAACCGCCTCAAAAGAAAACCCTAACGAACGCCTCCTTTCGAAAACCCTCCTCGCTCCGCCTCCTTTCGAAAGCCCAAATGTAGATATGACGTGGTTCAGATAGGGGATTGGGATTCGCATCACATAATCGGCGTGGAATATTCAGTGATTTATCCAAAAAGAAAAAGGAATCGTTTGTTGAACACTTTCTTCCGGGAGAAAAACGTAGGGAATATGTGTTGAACATCTTTTTACATACCGCCATAAATAAAGGCACCCCGATCCCCGTGTTGTGTGGTACATAATTACAACGTCAATTTCATATGGTAGCTCTGGCCACTTTGAGTGGTGTAGATTTAGTAATGGAAACAACTTGAACGGTTGAGATCGGCCACCAGGTCCTCCTCAGTTGACCAGGACTGAGTGTCTACATCGCCGTACTAAGACAAGGAGAGTCCGTGCGAATTGACTCGTTAGTGATGTTCCACCACAACGATCTTTCCACCAGGCCAAATATCTATACTGTTGATGATCACAGAACATTCCAGCAGCTAAATTGATAGTACGTGTAAATACTTTTATGCTATGAGAACCAATTGTTACCACACCTCCCTTGAAATTAGAGGTTGAGGTTTTTCTATATTGTATAATTAAGTTGAATCTAAGATTTTTATATATTTAATTTATTAATGATAATATAATTATTGGATTTTTACTATTCAGTCCATCCTCAAAAATCTTATCTTCACCGTAATTAATGTTAATTTACAGAAAGGTATGGGTGTTATAAGTGGGTATTTATAATTTTGAATTATTGTAGATATGTAGTTGAATTCAAAATTTTGAGACGGAGTGCTGTCATAATTTTTTTATATTTACTTTTACAAATTTAAATTACTTTTATGAATTCGACTAGGATATCATTAGGATGTTAGTAAAACAACGATTTTATCAAAAAATAAATAAAATTATTATCAATCAATC